TCGTTCTGTTCTTACATACCATGTGCCATATTTCTTTATAAAAATAAAAGAGGCGAAAGTAATAAAAATTGCATAGCTATAGAAATACTTACATAAATAAAACGACGCCATGTATTATGTATTAGTTGCAATGCAAATAGAATCATATCGTGTATACGTTGCTACGTGTATTTGCGTAAGAAAAAATATGTTGCAGTTATTTTAACGAAAAAAAAATATTTTGTTGTCATGCTTTCTTTTATTCGTTTTAGGTGAGGATGTAAAGACAAATGAATCATGAACGTCCCACCCACACTCAAACTCTCCAAAAGTATATCCACTTTAAATTATCGTAAAAGAGAATATAAGTTCTTTTTGAAACAATAGTTTTATCGCTGGTGTGCGTTGGTTTCTCGTCAGGTAAAGTGAAAAGGAGCAACTAAAAAGATAAGGTTTGTTGAGAAGGACAGAACAAAATTGCAGCGTATTTTTCCCTGTAATAAACTGTCCGTTCGAGAGATCCATTTCGGGCGAGTTGTTGTGCGCCATTGCAAGTAAGTTTTAGCATGCGAGCTACTGTATTCAATCAATCTATCTCAAGGTATCATTTTTTATCGCAGCAATATGCCAAGCTTTCTACCTTCGAAAAGTTTATATGTTCGAATCAGATCAAAAATACACGAGCAATCAAAAATTAAATCATCGATGGCAAAAAAAACTCTAAGTAGACATCATGGTGACAAGATGAGTGTGGCTGTGCTTGGGATATGTATGATATACCCACCCTCAAGATGGTTTCACACAATAGTTTATGTTATTTAATATTGAAACTCTTAAAAATTCATGTGAACTGACTATGGACTCATTCGGCTTAGAAACGCATACTTACACCCACGCACACACCCTATCAAAGTAATATATCAACATCTGAGAACAATCGTACGAACTAAATTATTGTATAGTACATTCTCGTCGTATAGGCTGATGTGCAAGTTGAATGTCAGTAGTGGTATTGATCCATACAATCAACCGTTTCTCTCTATTATCAATATTCAACACTATCGATTCGAATGAATTCGTTCGCAGTCGACTATGATCTCTGATCCAGATATGATTCGGAGCATATTGATTGCGAGTTAGATGCAGAGTAAGTTTCTCAAGATGAACAAATCCATTCAACAAATAACAGAGCTGATTTCGTGAATAATAGGTAGTCGTCAAATGAGTCAATTGAGGGAAAAGTCGACGTATATGATAGAAAAGCTTTTTTCTTGTTGATGGTTTATAATCGAAAAGAACAAGATGTCGAATCGATAGAAATGGCGAAAGAAGTTGATTGAATAAGGTCAAACTATGTAAATAACGAAGATGAATACTATCGAGATGAGTCATGCTCTTCATTAAAGAGATTAATGCTTCGTTACTACCGACTTGTGACGTAAATTGAAAATATTTGACCATCTGAAGATCAACATGTTCTTGAATTCTGACAGATAACTCTATCGTGAGGAATCCGTTCAATGATAATCTTGTGAGATAATTGAAACATGGTTGGGTTAAATATTGAGACATAAACATTTGTTCGCGTCGATCATATTTCTGTAAATCAATTTCCAAACTTTCTATATTTGAGTAAAAAATGTTTGGGTTGCCCATTAAATTCACTGTATAAAAATGATCGGTGTCAATTATTTTCGGTGCAAAGTAAGGTACAGTGATCAGCGCCTTACGGCCAAAGTCGTATTCGATAAACCATTGCTTTGTACTTACCCACCATTCCGAACGAAATCCAATTAAAATATCATCAAGTGGCCCACACCATGAATCCATAATCACAAATTTTAAATTAAATGTTTCCAAGCTTATTAAGGATGTTGACAGAAATGATTCCCATTGGGTTCCATCCAATACATCGTTATGTATTGCCAATGGTTGGCTTAGTATTAATGTTAAATATCTTAATCGATGCATTTCTGATAAGATTCTACGCATGATTTCGAATGAAACATTTATATCACCTGGAAAAGTAAAAATAAATTGTTTGTAAGAGGAGGGTTGTTTTAAGGACTTGGCTATAGGAGGGATGTGGCAAACACGGCTACAAGGAAGATTTTATGATAATTTAAACAACTGAGCAAAACTATCGATAGACATTAATACATTATAGTGGTGAGCTCATCTCACCAGACAATGTAGTTACGTTCACACTTACCACTCAGATTTAGATTGAATTGAATTAGTTGTGTCCATTGATACTTACTGAATGCATTTGTAAATTCTTGAATATTGTTCGAATCACAATGTATACCAATACCGAGTGATTTCAGTTGGTGCATATTGGCACGAATTAATATATCCATATGAACAATTGAGTCAAAGAACATATGTAAATAGGTCAAATGAGTCGGAGCCCATTTCGATAAACTGCAATATTGATTGCTTGAACGTAAAGTGAGATGTTTTAGAGAATCAAAATTATAACTGTCTGACAAATCTATGTCATTCTGACGTATACGATCGAAACGAATTGACAGGAGTATATTTAAGTCGATGGTTGATGTTAATCTTGTTAGAAATGATCGATCAACTACGATTGTATCATCAATCCATAACGAACGTAGATGAGTTAATGGTTGTTGATTAGCAAAATTCGACAGAAATCGATTAGCTAAATCGAAAGGATTTTGACCAAGATGCAATCCAACAATTTGTTCTGATCGTAGAAATGAACAAATAAGATCGAACTCATTTTTACCGATGTCCGATGCAGATAAATCTAACATGTAATGATTATATCCAGTGAGAATACCATTCAAGTAGTTATTTATAGAATAAAATGCTTTTAAGATGTGACAACCAGAAAGATACGATAGTATTTCATGAAATAATTCAACTGGCAAACAGTCAAGTGATAGAACAGGCATCTTGTTACTTCATATGTCAAATAAGACAAGTAAGTTGTATTTACAAAATTGAAATCTAGAAATAATCCGATCATTAATAAAGAAATATGTTCAGAAGAAGCGAGAAAATAATAGATTAGAGCGAGCGGTTTAGACCTCTCAGAATCCTTGTCTATATCAAATTTGATCGGAAAAGAAAAACTGTCAAGTAAACAGTTGTAAATCATAGAGGATTATACAATGTTTTGAGCCGACTGTTCAGTATGACGTCTAGTGATGATAGTTATACAATTTCGCCATCGATTCACAATGCCAGAAATAAATTGATTCCATCTTTGGGTTCTTTCTAAGGAAAAAATTATTGGATTAGAACGACATTCTGTAAAACAACAAACAAGAAGAGCAAAGATTGAATATATCCATTGAGCGATCATCAAACCGAACACCTGTTGATAATGTCTTTTCGGGCAAGACAACATAGCAACTGTTGGTGCATTTTGTAGTGCTTTTCTAATTTCGGTCATTTCCATACCTGTAATAATGAAGAGATCAACGAATAAATGCCAAGTGGGTTGATATAAAAAGAGTAAGCATATGGTGTGGACATCTCGATAACAAGGTGGCTTGCAAACTTTCATTCTTGAAATGATGTAGCCCAGCACACCCAACACGAATGGAATGTTAAAAAACAAAGAGACACGTATCCAAATAAGATTTGTACTGGAAAGTCGACAATCGTAACAGGCGAGTGCTATTTGATAAGTAGCAAAAAACAGAAGAATAATAATTAAAAATGATGCAGCTAAGCCATGAAGAAATTTTTCCAGAGACTGGAAAATAGATTGCAAGCGAGCTGAGAATGGTTCCGACCCTCCAGCTGGAGGAAATGAAGGCTCGATACTGGGTGGGGTTAGAACTGAAATAGGATCAGCACGGGATTCTGAAGTTGTTGGTAAATACATCTCGTTTCATGGCGCATACATTTGAATAATCTATTAAGTGAAGAAATATTTATACTGGTGACGGATAAGATTTTTATGTAATGATCATAAAAACAAAAGATTGTATTTCAGATGAAATCAAACTCTCGGAAGTAACAGGAATGGATATGGAAGTGCGTGGGTGCTGACGCTCTCATGAATAACACAATTATTTTTTCCTTTCGACATCATATTATTCACCTTTTAATGTGAAGCACTTTTCTCAATATTATAAAGGTAAAAAAAATGAGTAACATATGTACCCACACAAAACAATTGAAATTTTTAGTCAACATTTATAGAAGTAAAACAAGACAGTTGCACTTCTTTTCATTTTCCTCTCATATTAGATACGTAGATTTAATAACTTGATAATGAATAAATCAATTAGAATTTATCTTTAATTATGATTTTGTTTAATTATATGAATCAAATACAAAGAGAAATAAAATACGCAACACACAAAAGAGTAAACATTATTTTAATGTTTCTTTAGTAATGTAATGATTATTTCCAAATGTTTTTCGAACACCTTCTAGTTCGATTGCATCGAAAAATGAACAATTTCGATTCCATGTTTCAGATAAGAATCCTTGATCAGGTGTAATATAAAAATGTTTTGGTGAAGATGGATCATAACTCGGCCATTGATTTAATGGTTTTCCTGTTCTTGCTATATTAATCCAATGTGCAATTATTTCATTTGAAAATACTCGTGTTGAATTATCCCATGTACAATTGAATAATTCTTGTGAATGAAAATCACTAACAGTTCCAAATACAAATGGAAGTTCAGCTGAATGTCTACATATACCTTCTTGTGGTACAATAGGACATTGAGGATAACAATTTAGATGATATGAATATAATTTATCTTGTTCATATTGTGGACCATATTTTGAATAGAAAGCATTAAATATTCGACGAATATCACAATCAAACAATTTATCTGTTGCCATAGAAAGAACAATTCTACAACAACGACTACTATTAGCCATTCGATTTGATGAACAATTTTTTAAATGATAATAATCAACAAGTGCTGGTATCCATTTTTGTTCTACAGATTGACTTATTAATGCTAGTGCTTGAGTATAATTCATATCAGGATAATCGAGACATACCGTTAGATCATAATCATTATTACCCATAATAAGACTAATATTATTATACTGTCCATTCTGAATTGCTAATGGTGGATATAATGGAAAGAAATAATTATCAATAATTGGTTTTGTATAACGAGTACCATAAATTTTATATAGATCTTGAATAGAAGAATTACGTATACATGAAAGAACTTTTTGTTTATCTTCATTCGTACAATTTAATCGTCGGACAATTGTATTAGAACAATTAAGAGCATCATTCATACTATAATAAGATGTATACGTTCCAGGTGAACTTAAACCAGATTGACTTAATGCTGTTCGATAAAGACCAGTTGATCCTTTTACTGCACCAAGATCAGTCACAGAAAGTCCTCCAGCACTTTGACCAAATAATGCAACATTATTTGGATCACCTCCATAATCACGAATATTTTTCTTTATCCAACGTAATGCAGATAACATATCTAAATACATATAATTACCTGCGGTTGGCCATTTTGGATCTTCTTCAATTAATTCTTTTAAAAACATATCTGCTAATACTCCTAATCGATAATTAATTGTAATAATAATAACAGGTTGACCTGATGGTGAATTACTAATCATATTCGTACCATTATAAATCAATGGAATACTTTGTGATGAACAACCTATTTCATGTGCACCACCATGAATCCAAACGAAAACGGGTAAAGAAGATTGATCCGATGGAACTATTGGTTTGTAAATATTTAAATAGAGACATTGTTCGTCTTGTTCAGGAATATAGGTGTCAGTTTTTGGTTGTGGACAACATGGTCCAAATGATGTAGCTTGTAATGAATCATTTGAAAATATTTCTGATGCAAGATCAATAGGTGGTTTCCATCTTTCTGCTTTTGCATATTGAATTCTAAGTAATAATTACAATAAAAAGTCATTCAATATAGTATTCATTTCATCATACCCTAAATATTCAATTGAACTTTGAGTTTGTCGACCATAGATTATTCCTTGTTGGGTACGAAGTCCAACATCGGTAGTTGCAGTAATGATTACAATTATTTTAAGTAATATATAGTTTGAAAGCCAAAAGTAACTCATTTACGTAAAAATACAAAGGAGCTTGTCTTACAGTTTTGTTGTTGACGTGAGAGAATGTAATAAAACTATCTGCGTTGTCAACAATGACTGGATAGTGACTTACCTTTGATATTTTATATTCTATTCTAATCTATACTTTTATCTTTAGAAAAAAAAACTACACCATCATATAAATAAAATAATGTAATATTTTGTGTAGTTTATTATTGTGTGTTCCTACTATGCATTTGAACAAAATGAATTAGAGTTGAAGAAAGACAATTTGTATATTCTATGTCATTTGAAACGATGAGTCGAGCACATCGACATTTAAGTGAAAGCTTTCGACTATTACGTAGAAGTTCTTTGATTTCGAAATTATACGCCATATTTTTCGGGAGATGTCCGCTTGCATCAATACAATCCGTGTGAGCATTAGCATCCAGAAGAAGTCTGATAATAGTTGTCGCATCATCCACATTGTCACATTTCGCAATCGTATGCAATGGTGTTAATTTTCTTCGTGAGTCAGTTTCGTTTACATTTGCTCCACAGTCAATCAGTAGTGGAATAATCGACAAAATTGGAAGACTAAAAGAGAATTACTTTCAACATGTGTTTAATTTGACAATTATCGACTTAAGGAGAATCATACCTGATAGAGTTACATGTAAAATTATATTCACCGATCGTAATCTTATGAATAAAGTAGTTGAGAAGAGGATAGATGTGTCCACGTCCTATGATCAGTTTTTGATGTACAGCACGTCGTATAAAACTTAATAAGATACGCTGTTCATTGCGATCTACTTTCTTCGATTCAGTGATCTATAAAACAAAAAAATATAGTCAGTGCTTATTCGATAGAAAAAAAGAATACTTACATAAATAGCGATAAATAGAAGTTTCATCAGAATAGTAGACAACGTTTTGTCCGCCCTATTCTTTGTCCATGTCCAAACAAGTTCTAACGAATTGGAAGGTACAGTATCTTCTTTATGCAATATTTTAAATAAAATATACAAGATTTTTAAAAGATATTCTTTATGAAATTTATCAGTATTCCATTCTTTATGTTTTGTTTCAATTATCAATTGATAAGTATACAAACGTAACTGAAGACAACGATGATATCTTTCCTGAAATTGGTAAACATTAGTTTGTTTAATAAGAAGTAAAACAAAATGATTGATATGACCATTTGTAATTAAAAGTCGTTCACTAACAAGTAATGCATGCATTCTCATTCTATCATCATCGTCTCGTATACGAGCAAGTTCATCAAGTGTTTGACATTCGGTATGATATTCAAAAACTTCACGAGGCATACATTTACATAATGGTTTTGTCATGTTCAAAGCATTTTCAAAATAACAATATGCCTGATCTCGCTTGTTTACATTACCATCAATTGTATATCTACAAGCCAATAGTGCCAGTTCGTCTAGAATTTGTTGACGAGGTAATATATTCAGAAATGTATTCACTATAGATGTATTATTACAATAAGCTGCTAACATTAAAGGCGTAAAACCTGTTCCATTCATAACAAAACGATTACCATGATGATTGATAAGAATATTGGCTATTTTATTATATCTTTTATGTATAGCGTACTCTAGAGCAGTTCTCTTATTATCATCCAATATCGTTGGATCAGCGCCATATTTTAAAAGTGCATTGACTATGCCGAGATGATTTCGACGAGAAGCGGCATGTAATGCTCTTTCATTATAATTTTTCGTATATCGATTAGGATCACAACCTTTACTTAAAAGATAATCGACGATTTTTTCATGACCATTTTGAGCAGCAACTATTAAAACTCCACATTTATTAATAGTAGCATGTCCATCTTCAATGAGTTCTTGAACAAGATCGAAATCACCATTTTTACAAGCATGCCAAAGTGCTGTTCGACCATCATCACAGACATGATCTATGATTGTTGGATAGATGTAACCACGATAAATAGTATCTAATATTAATCGAATACATGCAGAATCTTTACTTTTGATGGCGCGAGTTAGTATCGTATCTGGGAAACGTTTCTTGTTTTTAGTTCGGTCACATTGATTTCCTTTTAGCTGGTTCATTAGCAGAGAAAGATAATCCACGTCTTTCGTAGTAATAGCATCCATTATTTCATCACTCGGCCGGGTTATATTCCACCAGTAGCTTGGATGATTCCACCAGAAATTATCTGATTCTTCGTCGTAATAATCATACATCTTATCACCAACCAACTCTTTTTTCTTTAATACTCGACCTATCGATCGAGTTCGATCAGAAGAATCATACAATGATCTTTGTTTTCTGTATTGTTTTGTTCGAGTGGTAGCTGTATGGCGTTGATGTTGTTGATCATCGTTGCGTTGATCAGCTGTTTGTATTATATCTTGATTTGTGGACATAATTTTACTTTATTTGTATTATTAAAACTGTGTACAACTTTTTATACTACTCTCATTTTTCAGTGATGTCGTAACTACGAAAAATGACATATGACGCAATAAGAATAAAATCATGATTGGTTAAAAAAATCAGTCTATGAAAAATTTAGAATTTTAGAAGGCAAATAGAATAGTTAATAATTCATTTAGATCGTCAACATATATATATATATTGAATGAAGCCTAATAGATGTCGCAGTATACTTTTTCTCACATTATTAATACTGAAATTAAAAAAATATGAATAAAATAACATGTTATTTTTCATGTTCTGTCACTTCCTTTATAAAGCACATGTTTCGTTTCGTTTACATTTATGTATACAGAATGTGGATATGAGTCAATCGTTTTTGTTATTCACATTCACTCAAACTGAGATTTAGACGAACATCTATTTCTGATTGTTTAGAATTCAACTTATAATAAATAATTCAAACAATAACAAGACAGAGCATATGATACATTAAATGTTTTCCTATTGAGTTTCTTGTTAGAATATGGCGGAATCCATCGACTTGAATGTATTAAAGAGAAATCTTTTCGTAGCTTGGTGGTGGCGAAAATTCATTATTTGTTTGCTGTTTACCATTGACGATAGTTAATGGAAGTCGAAGATGAATATTTCTGCAAAGTCCATGAACGTGAGCTTCGAGATGTACCTCATAACGTACAGTAATTGGTTTTCGATTAGACCATTCAGGTACATATGAACATGAAGGTGCCATCTTTTCAGGTAAACGAAATTCAAATTTATCATGCAAATTTTCATCTTGAAAATCATGAATACCATTTAAATTTTGTTTAAGTGAAGTAAGTTCTTCCTTCACAGCAGAACCTAGTAGTCGTTGTTGAATGAGCGTCAAAGTTATTCGATTGATTAATGCTCGATTTTGATTGTGTAAATCGACACGAAGTATTAATTTTTTACCAGCAACGACGATATTGTTTTGGAGAATAGCATGTAAATGAACACTTTTTTCGTTCTTATTGTCGTCTTTACTTTCGATCATAGGAATCGGTGATAAGACAGATTGAACAGTAATAAAACATGCTTTTTGAATATTTTTTTTGTACCATTCAGATTGAATCAATTGAATACGTACGACATATCGAAGGTATGGACCTTCGTGACGAGTCTGTTCGAGTGTTGAAGGTAAAGAAGCAACAAGAGAAGGTGAAAATGGCCATGTATAATTGCCAGATTCTAAAATAAAGCTATCTCCCTTTTCGACAGTACGTATCATTTGTCGTTCGGTAAAAAATGTTTCAACATGCATACTAGCTCTTCTTGATGTACCCGAGTACGAGTTCTATAATAAACGATTTCACCAACCAGTTCAATAAATATACTCTTCAATTTCAGTTCAGATTTTCCATCGTTGAAAAATTTGACTGTACCTGAAACAATCTCGTCTGTTTGATATATAAATTGACCAGTTTTATCAAATTGAAGTGAGATATTTTCGGCTAATTCACTAAATCCAGAACCCATGATTTGAGATAACAAAATACAATATTAAATATTATAAAGATAAAAATGAAGGTAACGCATTGTTTTTATATCTAGCTTTATCCTCACGTCATATATGATGCTTAGTTGATATAAAATACAAATGACGTATTCTTCTTCTTCTTCTTGACTCATGCACACTTGATTTCTGACGTCAGAGATAAAAAAAAAAAGAATTCTTATTCCGCTTTTAAAATTTAATCTACCATCAATGAATGTTTTTATTATCGTTGTTGTATTACTTTTTACCCATAGAATTATTTTATTAACATTAATTGTAGTCTCTCAATGTAATTGTATTATCAGTTAAGATTTATAATTTCTTTCAAATCATTTTACCATTTACATGTCACATAATTTCCAAACCCTAAATTAATTTCTTTTTGTTACATGATACTCTCAATTAAAGTTTAACTTATAAGAATGAGCAATTTCATAAGTTACAATATCTACAAATTGTTATTTTTGTAATTTTTTTGATCATAAACTATTCGATCTTCTTGGAATGAAATTAAATCTGAACTTCTTTTGTCACCTAAATAAAATAAAATAAAATAAACTATTTTCAGTTCTTGATGCTCTATATCATTGGTGAATTGTATTTTCTAGGTGAATAAAATGAATGGTAAATGTGCATGGTTATCAAAACAAGGAAATATTCTTCGAACTTCTGTTGTTCAAAATTTTGTTGCTAATAATGTTCTAAGAAAAAATAGAATCTTCTTCCCTTTTTATATATATTTTAAAGATCATAATTTATCCATTTGTTTAATATTTATTTTTAAACAAAACTTTGATAAAATTCAATGCTAGGATTATTTAGATTAACAACAAGTTTTTGTATTAATTTATATCAATTCATTGGAAATAAAGAATTATTCAATAATCGTAAACTTATATAACCATGAGGAAGATATTTTTTCAATATAATAGAATTTGTTGTTCCATTATTGTTTGTGCTAAATTATTACATAAATATTCTAATTCATAATTATTAACAATAAAATCATTTAATAAACGTAAACTACATTCATCTTCAATACATTCAGTTGGATTTTATGTAGTTGTTGTTGATGTTAGTATCTCAATTATAATTATATATTGCCTTCGTCGTGTCAGAAGATCAACTAATAGGCCAACAGTGCGAAGAAATTCACAATAAAAAATAATCCATGATGCAGCGATGAAAATAGACTATTTCTCAATTCATTTAATTCAGTATTAGCTTTGAAATTATTCGTTGCCAGGTACTGTAGTGTTTCACAATGAATATTATTCATATTTTGTTAATAATGCAAGTCAAAAATGATACGTAATATAGAAAAAAAGAATTTACTTTATTGTTCTTTTCTTTTTCTTACTTTTATTTATTACTGATAAGAATTTTATGCTGACTGTTATTCATACACAATGACTTGCATTTTAATTTATTTCTTGAAAAATTTCAAGTCTTTCTTTACGCAATAAAACGATTTATTCAAAGTTTGGGTGTGAGGGTGTGGGTATAACTGAGTGTGTGAAGACAGGAGATGCTCTCACATCCACACCCACACTCATAATTACACCCACACCTACATCCATAACTACAACTACATCCGCACCCAAACCAACATCCATACCCACACGCATTTTCACCCACCCTCAAGATTTTAACTTTTATATATCCTTATTCTACAAATATATTCATGAGAAACAGTTTTTTTGTACAGTAATTACTGTGATGTATTTATGAGAACATTGCTTTTATGAGGATATTAATAAAATACTATCGTACACTACATAATGATGGTTGATAAAAATTTATTAGCATAAGAGGTAAGGGGATTGAATGAGACTGTGAGTACAGAAAAGATATCAACGCTTTGTTTTATTGAATTTATTACATTAAACATAAACATTCATATTAATATTAGCCAAGATAGATTGTTTGGGTTTCAGACAGCTGCTCATGGAACAGATGCGCCTAGACATTTGCTCACTAGGATACTTGCTCGTTAGGATGTGGGTGTTGAAAGAATAGAACAATCACAACCGCATCTACATCCACACTCACACTCACATCCATATCGACACCTATACTCACACCTACACTCATCTCTAACTCACCTTCATATCCACATCCTCATGCTATGTACTAACAAAGTTTCTTGTTAGTTGTAAAACTTGCATATCTTTATTATAATTCAATTAAGAGTTATTTTTGAAAAAAAGCGTATTTTTTATTGTAGTACAAATATTAGTTTATTGTTTTTTTTCACTTATTGTCTGCCATTTTCCAGCTAGATGAAATCGATGAGCACGCCACCAAATAACAATAAAAGCAAGTATATTAAAGACAGTAAATAGTAAGAAAAGCATAGCAATATCAAAGTAAATAACAGCTGATGATGAGCCATTATCCCATTGGAGTTTGTTTAAAATTGAATAACCATAATAAAATGGAGATAAATATGGTAAAATATATAGAATAAATGGTAACCGTTTTAAATCAAGAAAATAATCACTGAAAACTACGAGTATTTGTAAGACTGGTACAGTTGTAGCTACTGCACTCTCGACAGATCCTGAAAATGAAGCAATAAATGCACCCATTGATGCACTTGTAATACTTGTTAATACGACAGTCGATACAAATGCAAGAAAATGTAAGAAATAATTATGATCTATTGATATTGAAGCACACCAATATATAATTGAACTAAAAGTTGCTGATACAAGAATTATTTTTGGAAAATCATGTAAATAAGTTGATATATAGAATGCTAATGTTCCATACATATGCTGTTGTGTTTCTTTTAGGAATACGAAAATAGCATTCGGTACTGTACCAGAAATAAGTGTACCACATGTAGTTGCTGACACATAGATTATTACAATTAAAAGAGCATTAACATTAGTTTCATATAATCGGGATGGATCTCGATGTGCCAAATTGAAATATAGAAGTCCAAGAACAATAGCTGGAACGAATGTTTTAACAAGTGCATCATAAGTATGTACTCGATTACGTATACCAGCCATATACGAACGCCATAATAACCATTTCATTTGTCGAAAAAAATTTGGAGTTGATCCATATGTAGTTGTTAATGAAGATGATAATGAAGAAATATTATTTGATGGAGTAGTTAATGAATCAAGTGAAAGTGCATAAGATGATTTAGCAAATCGTTCGACTGCTTGTAAGGCTTCTTTACTTGCTGCTGTTTCTGGTGCTGCTAATTGTTCTATATATACATCAAGTGATGATCCTATTAAACCACAATCATTGGCAAAGAATGGTAATGCTTCAGAATTAGTACTACCAAAAAATGCTTGTTTACCATTTTGAACCAATACACATAATAAATCAATAAATTTAAACATTTCAGATGTTGGTTGATGTAAAACAATAATCATTGATCGACGTCCTTCAACAGCAAGTTTACGAATAGTATCCATTAATGATTTAGCTAAATATGCATCAAGATTAGATGTAGGTTCATCAATAAGCATAATTGATGGATCAGTTAATGCGACTGTTGCAAATGCTAATCGTTTTCGTTCACCACCGGATAACTTTGATATAATAGTTGACGTACATTTCTCTAAACCTAACAATTTGATCATTTCAAAAACACATGCTCGACGATCATCATCGGTCATCGATAATGATTGCATTCGTAACATTGCCTAATACGAAAAAGAAAAAAGATTTTCTATTTATTCGTCATTTATATTATATACCTGAAAGATTAAATGTTCATGAAGTGTCATTGTTTCGATAAATACTTGATCTTGTTCAACATGTCCTATACATGAACTTTTGAGCCGTTTATTACGTGTTGTCACTCGACCATTAATCATAATCGTACCCGAAACGAGTTCCAATGTACTAGGATCATCTAAACCACTGAGTACTTTCAACAATGTTGTTTTACCTATATAAAAACAAATTAAGTGTTTTCTTTTAAAACTAAAACATACCGACGCCAGATGCACCCATTACAGCTAAAATTTGTCCAGGCTGTACAATACCTGATACATCAACCAGCAGTTCACGTCGTTGCTGCTGTGATTTACCATCAAACTTTAAGCCACGAAGATATGCAGCACAAGAAAATTTGTTATCATCTCGCGTTTGAACACAAAGACGAGACCAACTGAATGTAAATTCAGGATGTTTGTTTATAAAATTGACTGCAACTCTATCGTCGTTACTTTTGTCGGATATCATAATATAATATCTCTGAATAAAATCACTAGATAAATATTTTTTGAATCAGTCATAATTTATCAAGCATGTCCAATTATCTATTATTCATATTTCGTTATACGGAGGAGTCATTATTCGATAGCTCCAATTATTGAAACACACGTATTCATTCAGGCATATAATAATTTATTTTATCTAGAAAATATATATCATACCATTATGATACTAATTCATTTATCATCAACGTTTCAATTTACAATAGGTATGAAAAAGGAAAAATCATCTAATTAAAATAAATGAGAAAAAAGAGTTTTCAAGTGCATAGTTTCAATTTAATTATAATTATTTCTAGCATACTATAATCATAAGAAATAAAATCGATGATAACAAATAATCATGGTGACTATGGTGCAATTGATCATCAAAATAATTCAACATCAACAAATGGTAATATCTTATCGAATCTATTTTCTCGACGAAAATATACAAAAATGAAAAATGCTGATGAAGAAATGTCTCAAATTTCTATTATTGAGCCTTCGATGAAGACAGAAGAAATTACAATGAGTTGGTCAAACATAACTGTCGAAGTTATTCAAAAAGAAAAGTCTCGTTTATCTTTTTGGTCGAAAACAGATTCATCAACATCACGTCATATTCTTGTCAATGAAGTATCTGGTATAGTTCGACCAGGAGAAGTTCTAGCAATAATGGGCACATCTGCAGCAGGTAAGTAGAAACATACAGATCGTTAACTTGAATATTATCTATTTTCAACTAGGTAAAACAACATTACTCAATGCACTCAGTGGTTATAGTGATAGACGAGAATTGAATGTAACAGGTTCTGTGATGTTGAATGGATGTGTAACAACAAATGACGAACGAAGATCATCAAATATTATTGGTTACGTTGAACAACAAGAATTATTTTGTGAAACACTGACAGTTGAAGAGCATCTCTTATTTCAGGCTATGTTACGGATGTCGTCGAAAATATTGACTGATAATGATCGACGAAAATGTGTTTTGGATACAATAAAATTATTATGTATGGAAAGATGTGTATCGACTACGATTGCAAAATTATCAGGTGGTGAACGAAAACGATTAGCATTTGCTGCAGTTGCTTTAACCGATCCATCAATTATGTTGATTGATGAACCGACTTCTAATTTAGATTCATATTTAGCTAAATCATTAATGCATACTATTCATATGTTTGCTGTAGAACGACGTCGATCCATCGTTGTTGTTTTACATCAACCTACAACGGATATGTTTAAATTTATAGACACCCTCTGTGTATTATCTGATAATGGAAGACAAGCATTTTTCGGGGATGCACGTCATGAAGCAATAAATTTCTTTACTGATCAATGTGGTTTAGAAGGAGAATCACTCGATGAATTTATCGAACAAGTCTCTTCTAATAGTACCGTTGGTCAACAAGTAGCTGATCGATTTAGTACTAATTTCAAATCTTCTTTAATTTCATCTATTGAATCAATAAATGATAAATCTATGAAAGATTCAACATTTGTTACTGTTAGTTTTTGGCGTCAATTGAAATGGCTTCTTTGGTATTCAAGTGTAAGTGGAGTTCATTTATCAGTTCGATCGACAAAATTACCGTTTTGTCTACTTATTATGAGTATTATATTTGGTCTGGCATATTTTCAACTCGATCCTTCCGAAACACATTACGTACGAAATCTTAATTCTGTTTCTTTTATTATTGGTGTGTCACTTATTGTCAGTAGTATGGGTGTGATAGCAATAAGTTTACTTAATGAACGAATACTTCTTATTCGTGATATACAACGAAAAATCTATTCTATTCAAGCATATTATATTGCAAAATTTATATCCGATTCAATTTTTATAATTATAATATCAGTTTTATATTCAATTATTATTGTTCTACTTGTAAACATGAAAGAACTTGGATTGATGACATTAGTCGTATCATTAGAAACATTAGCTGCTTGCGCTGTTGCATCTCTTATGGCATCAAGTTCATCATCAATTCTCATCATTTTACTTATATTACATCCATTAAATATTATATTGAATCAATTTTCTGGAGTTTACATCAGTCTTCAATCAATACCTGACTATTTCATATGGTTACAATATCTTTCCTATTATTACTATGGTTACACGTCAATGTTAATTCTCCAGTGGCGTAATGTAACTACTGCTCAAGAACCTTGTGAAAAAGCTACCAATAGTACCTTTTCAACCTCTCCAGCTATTTGTTATCGAAGTGGTACAGCTATTTTAAACGAACATGGCATTCAACAACATAATTTAAACTTTAATTTATTAATGCTTGTAACGCTTATTTTAGGATATCATATAGTATCATTTATCATTCTATTTATTCGCATTCGACGAATTTCAAAATAAAATTAATAAATTTTAATAATTGAAAAATGTTATTAATTAGAATTTTTTTTTATATGATAGATCTTTTTTAACTTGAGAATGTCTGTGTACCCTCGGTTTGTACGGGTGATTCAGTATCTGAGACTGCAGTCCAATGTGAAGGATAAGTGATATGTAGATTAGGGATTAAATTATTTCGAAGCATTAATTCTTGTTCAAGAATATTCCAGATAGAGTCATCGGTGGGAGATTTTCCTTGAGAATGAAGTTGACCAAAATAATCAATAATATTTTTCAAATTAGAAGAAGTTATTTTTAATAACAAAATTGTATGGATCAGTTGTTAGTTGGGAGATTTTATAATTAATACCATCAACTACCTTGCCATACAAATTATTTGATATGTTTGTCTTTCCACCATTCCACAGTATGTTGAGTTGTAGATCACCCAAATAGCGGATACCATCTTGAAGGTGTGGGTGAAAAGATGTACGCACTGTAATTGATATACTCACGCCCACCCTCATCCACACATCATCAATTGTACGACATATAGCGTTATCTTTATTTTCACAAATTAATGGCATCTTTTTACATGGAGTGAATGTGTGTTTTGTTCCCATTTTACAACCGAAGATAGAATCGATTACCTCATCGTCGACTATTCATTTTCATTGTTCTATTTGTTTCATCTCTGTATTTTATTGACGGACGTACAGTTAATCAGTATGTGTCAAAAAAAAACGCTCATTATTTAGAGTTCAGAGGTGTTCATTAATAGAGGTTTCACTGTGTATATAATCTTTATTATTTAGAAACAAAGCTTGAATAGAAAAGCGGACAGAAAAAAAATGACCGATTAAAGTTTGTGAAGAAAATAAGATAATATTCTATATTATCTTCATATTCTATCTGGATGTTGCAATTTAAATTATTATTCACGATATATAAGTTCGACCACCTATGATATTAAAAATTATATAATATGCGAGAAATAACTGATGATAATGTCTCACCTTATTGAACTCCAATGCTTCTCTAAGACGTAACGTGCCTGCATGATTAATATTGTTAGAACAAACCTTCAATACTTTGAGTGTCTATAATCATTGAAAATATTATATATTTGTTCAATAAACGTAGACAGGTTGCTTTACTGTATTCACTTTCAATGCATCTGCAAAATATTGCGCTCCTCGATTGCTGATCTTATTGTAGTTAAAGTTCAGTTCTGTCAGTGTCTATAATCAACAAAGGTATGAAATATCTTCTGATAGGCAGAACAAATGACGGACAATATTGAACTTTAATGCTTCTGCCAGAGATAGTGCTCCATCATCACCAATTCGATTAGCACTAAGATTCAATTTGGTGAGTGTCTACCATCAGTGATAACCTTGAATATCTGATAAACGACTACGTAATCGCTTTTACCTCATTCACCAATAACGTTTCAGCTAGATATTGTACTCCTGTATTACCGACGTCATTACATTGAAGGCTCAATTCTGTAAGTGTCTGTGATCAAGGGCTGTAAAATACATATAAATTGAAAAAACAATATATTTCACCTCATTTGTTTCCAACGCTTCACAAAAGTAACTAATGCCATCAGAATCAATTTTGTTATTCAAAAGATCCAATATTTTGAGTGTCTGTGATAAGAGATATTATCAAAATATTAGAGTTGAAGTAAAGACTATGTCTCACGTGGTTTTTTTTCAACATTTCAGCCAGATGTTTTGCTCCCACATTACCAATCCCATTCACTACAAGTATCAGCGTTGTAAGTGTCTGTATCGAATAATAATATTAAATAGTTAAGAAATCATTTGACGTTATAACATACCTGATTAAATAATAATGCTTCTGCCAAATACATAACTCCTTCATCGCCGGTATTGATCGCTACAATATGTAGCGTAGTCAGTGTCTTTATTCGATTTAAATAAAGCATAAGTTAAGACTAATGTCAATTATAGAATGTTTTTCACCTGATTGTCGATTAACGCTTCAGCAAGGCAAAGTGTTCTTTGATGATCGAGGTTCTCAGGTTTTATTATTTTCAGTTGGGTGATAGGCTGTAAGCAAAGAGAATAATGCATAATGTTAAAATCAGTTAAGAACAATTCTTACAGGACTTGCTTTTAATCTAGTGACAAGAGGATCGACTTCATTTGTTCTCATTCCACGAAAACAGAATTTCAGCTTAGACAATCTCTACATAAAATTTAAGTAATTATATTCTTATGTTCTAATTTTCACGGTGTATGTTTTCAATCACCATCTTCAAATGCATTGATAACTATACAAGCCTATTGAAATTATTTCAATACCATCTATAGTATCGAATCGTGTCATCGGTTATCTTCGACTGTATTTTGACAGATTCAAAAATTGATTCGATATGAGACTATAAGTCGAGGGAAATAAGAAACATCTCGTTGGTTTCCTCACAATAACTGATTATGCTCCTTTTTCAATTGAAGAATGAGTATGAAATATACCTTATATCGTTCGTATGTGTCCATTATAGCATTGGTGCGTGTACAGACGTCACGAAGAGAACGGAAAAGGGCTTCAGCGTCAAGATTGTCCATAATACAATAAATCAGCTCGATTGGTAGAGTAATAAGTGATGGGGTGCTGTAGTCAACCATAGTGTAATTAATTCGATGAGATGAATAAATACTAAAATAATTACTACTTTATACTTTCGTGTCAAAATAATATCTACGAATGTTTGAGAGTAGGTGTGGGTGTGGGTAAGGATATCTCTTTTTTGCTTTCACTCATACCTACACCCGCCTCAAGGTAGATAGATCTGGGATTGGATTAACGATAAAAGTAGAATATGGGTAAATATCGATAAAGAGCTGAGAATGCGGATAAAAGCGATCAGTTGTGAAAAACTCGATTGCTTATGATTATTTTAAAAAGATGTTACTTGGGCAAAAAGAAAACACTGAAGAAAATGCAAGCTGAAGTTCACCTAAGAGTAAGAACTAAAGTATAAAATTGTTTCGCATTTTCAAGAGAAATACTACAAAAAATAACTGGAAATATATACGCTCGTAAAAACAATAACCGATTCATCATAAAGAGAATTTCATCATTAAAACAAATGCATTATATGAAAAAAACCCATTGCAAAATATTTTTCGGCGATTAAAGAAAAGTGTCTATGTCAACAAATTCGAAACAACATATGCGTCGTCATTCTCACAAGTGATGAGAGTTGGCTATCAAAATTTTTCTTTGAGAGAAAAGAGAAAGGGACAAATGTCGATTGACTGTTTGGACAGAATATTTTTCTCCCACCGTCTCTTGTTTAACATGCCAACATACACGCAATTTTTTTCTTTTTATGATGAAATGAATCACAGTTCCTACCATATAACATTAAACGCAAAATGAACGCGAGTATCTGTATTATTAATTAAAAACGTGGATCAATCCAAAAAATATTCCATTGCAGACATGACTTTAAATAAAATTTGTTCACTTTTATCTTTTTCATTAATAAACGAGTTAAACTATTAAGATTTCACAGTCTGATGGTGAGTCTCGAAATTTCAAGATTCAGATTTCATACCCCCTAAAATATTACTCGTCAATTGGATTTAACTCTATTGTATTTGTGAGGGAGAAGATGCATCAATAGATACACTAACGTCTTTTCTCCAGGCTGAAAGTTTTTTTCGAATGGCTTAAATATTCTTTATGATATATAATCACAAGAGCTATCTTGAGGGTATGGGAATGTGAATATAATAGACGTTTTCAGTTTTCTACTTTATACCACTCTATACTCAACTATTGTAAAGACTAGAAGTTGTATTTTAATATATGCTGATGTAAAATTTGTTCCTCTTTCTTCTGATATAAAACTGATAGTTTTATGAATGTAAAATAGTGAAAATGTGAGCGTTCTGATGCAGCATACGCTCGTTTCCATGATATATTCTAAAACATATAAAAGTGTAGAAGTAAAACTTTTTATACAGTTGTGATTAATTCGAACGATTCAAATATATTTTTCTCTCTTCATAATAACCATTTGTATCACTAAAATGAACGTGAAATCTAACAGTATGAATATTAGAGAGAAAGATTATGCTCTTCATTTTATACCAGAAGATTAATAGTCTTTTTCTCTTTTTGTTTTCATTTGACTTCGAATTTAATTTTGTTTAAAGATTCTTCCAATAAAAAATAGAAGTGTATAGAGAAAAGATAGTTATATCGGCATAGTCAAAACGATGAGTGATATTTTCTATTGATTTGTTGCAATTTTTTAAAAAGAAAGAGAACACTTCGCATCAATTAACACTTATAAAAAGACAGAGCCATTCAATTTCGAGGAAAAACCCAAATGATTTTTTTCTACAAACACACCATTTTTTCCACCGTACTTTTCTACTTCGCTCCGCCTTGCTCAAGGGCTTTTATATAGAAAATCTGAAAGAACAAAAGCTATTCAGAACTGTCCGTATGGAAGATAGTATTTGACTAAAAATAGTCTTCATCAACTTTAGAGTATCCCTTTTCTTTTTTTTTCTATAAAAATTTGTAATGGATCAGACCAGACCATTTCACAGTTTACTGTTAAAATATATTTTTGTATCGTATGTAGATATACGAAGAAATCTCTGATATTTAAATCAACATTAGAAGTTTTCTTCTTGCATCGATGCTAACGATCGTCATTTACCGGTATTTATACATTTTTGTTATTCTAGATCAAGTTCAAAGCTTAGTAAACTGAAAATAACAATAAACTCTTTTTTTTTATTATTGTTGTGTTTGAAATGAATACTTATCTAATTTCAAACATTTGGATATTAAAAATACATGTTATATTATATCATGAGCTATATTACTACAAATATTGAAAAAAGCACAAAAATTTACTTTAATATTATTTGTTATTAATAATGAACTATGTCAATATTTCAATCAACTGATTAAAAAATTAGATATTGTTAAATATTGAAGAACTGCAATGTTGTATTGAACAA